TCTCCTTTTCCTCCTCTTCCTCATCTTTCTCCTCCTTCTCCTTCATTGTGATGGGGCTCACTGTATTGCTTCAATCTTGAGATCCTCCTGCCTCAAGCTTCCCAGTAGCTGGAATTACAGGCATGCACCACTGCACCTTGGTCATATAACAATTTTTTTCTGATTTCAAATTTTCTGATTTTTACAATTTTACTTAAAAATTATTGAAGTAAAAAGAGAGCTGTGGGAGATGGTGCTATGAAATGCTTATAAGTAATGTATTAAAATGGTAGCCATAAGGATGGGAAGGAAAAATGAAAGAACATTAATGTAGGATTCTTACATCATACAATTTTATGCATGTAGTATAATGGCAAAGTATTAGTGAAATATAGATGTGATAAGTTAATGGTGCCTACTGTCAATGAAAGAGCAACCACTGAAACAAAAAGAGGTCTAGCTACTAAGCCACTATCGGGAATAGCATGGAGTGCTGAAAATGAAGGCAGGAAATCAGGGAAAAGTAACAAAGAACAAATGTGATAGGTAAGAATGAAAAGATATAGCAAACCATATTTATTATTGTAATAAGTGAATTTTTAAGGAATGAAGGGCAGAAATTGTCAGACAAGAGATGAAAGCAAGACCTAATTATAAGCCATCCACATTCCTGTACTCACTCAAAGTGCAGGGTGTTTTGATGTTTAGTTTTGTTCAAATAAGTGTGAAAGTATTTACAAACAAATAGAAAATGGGGAAGAGTTAAAGTACTCAGATAAAAAGCAACTCTTCCATAATTTTTGACTAGTAACTTTTTCTTCCAACAATTAATATGATTGTTTAAATTCACTAGAGCAAGTCAGACAGAGCCAATACCTGGTTATGTTTTTTTTGCCATCACTCTGGCCTTATGTATAAAAAGTTGCTGTAGAATGAAATTATCTATAATTCTTTTTCATAATCACAACAAAATTTTATAATCCCTGTTTTTGTGAACAAATAAGGTTTAATTGTATAAAAACTTTTGTGGCTAAACATCACTTTTTTTTCCAGAGCAAAAGGTAATTCTTACCCTTGGAGCAATGAATAAATACAAATATAAACAAGGAAAAACTAAAACTGTCTTATTTTTTAAAACCTTAAATAATACAGTCATTTCAATCTATAAAATGAATTATTATTTAAAATCTCCACACTCAGGATGGGCTGAATTGAGATTCACAATTGAATTCTAAAATAATCCTATATGTTCTAATCCATGTTCTTAAGGTTCCTCAACATATAGGATTTTTTCTGGCGAGAAAACCTTTAGGATGTGAAATATTCCTGTGTTACAGGTCATACGGAAAGGAGAAGTGAGCTGCTGCTGGATTTGCACAGCCTGCAAGGAGAATGAATACGTGCAAGATGAGTTTACCTGCAAAGCCTGTGACCTGGGGTGGTGGCCCAATACAGATCTAACAGGTACATGCAGCCTCAACTGTAAACTTTGTTTGACCCTAACTATTGCGCTTTCTAATGTCCATCATTCAAATGTGAGCCATTATATCTTTTCAATGTTAATTTACAGTGCACCCTTTCTAATGCTTGTGTCAAACAGTATGCACAGACATCTTATAAGTTTTCCATAATCTCTATTGCAAAGAAATCTCATTTACATCTAAATAAAAGTGAGCTGTTATTTTGTAGGATATTCTGTTTTAGAGTTATTTTCAGTTTTTCTTTTTTAATATTTTATCAAAAATTTTTCTAATCAACTGAATTTATGTTGGCAACCATTTTTTGAACATCTACTATGAGTCACAACTATAGACTGCAAAGGTACAAAGGATGAGATATAATCCTAGCTTTTATTTTGCTTAAAATATGTAAGGAAAGAAAGATGAGAAAATATATAAATTAAGAATATAATAGATATTTATCAAGTGCAATAAAAGGTAGACAAGGAGATGAAAGGAATTCTAGGAAACAAAACATGGGAAATTTAAAAGTCTGAAATAGATCTGGGGAAACCCTGGGACCAGCACATGTAGCTAATCAGTAGACACAAAGGGCTGGTAGAGAAGTGGTGAAAAACAAGGTTAGGCAGGACACTGGCAGTGGTGACAGGGACTTCCACATGATCTTCCCCTGTGTTTATTCTGGCGTTAGCACAGGAGAAATACTGAAGGATTTTATTTTATTATTAACGTATATAAGTATACATATTAGATAATATAAATATACATAATGAATGAATATATGATGAATATTGTATATAAAAATTATATATAATTATATATATAATTAACAACAATAAAAATCAATCTGCAAATTGAAGCAATCTGATTTGGAGAGAGAGGAGGGAAGGGAAAAGGAGGTACTGGGGAAAGAAATTGATCAAATTATGTGCATCTACTGAAAGGCTTTGGAGTGATGAGTGACATGGTATCTGTTTATCAAGGGACAGGCCTGGTGGTGGGGTGGAGTGTAAATTAGACTGGAAACACAGCAGTCAAGAAGCTGTCCTGTTGGTCTCAGTGAATCATTTCAAAGAGTCTAGGGCCTCTGCAGTGGGGATGAAGAGGAAAAAAATGAGTGCAAGAGATAATTCAATAGTAAAGTCAGTGGGGCTAAGATGGATTGATCCTGAGAGTTTATAACTTCCCAAAGAGCAATACTCATGTATGTGAATTTTGTTTTCCACAGACTGTGGCATGAGCTCACAGATAAGAGGTTTCTCACTAACATGTTTTATAAATAGAGTCATAAACCCTAGGAATTTTGTCATCTGAGTACATATAGCCTTTGTCATTTGAATAACCTAACTTCTCATCTCACAAAGAAGCTGAAGCCTATAAGGGGTGAGGGAGCGTGCATCATGTCTACTTGCATGCAACTAGTTGAAAGCAGAACCCAGTTCACCAAATCCTGATCTCTTGCTTCCCTGGGTACCATCAAAAGCTTCAGAGGGATTGCACTAATTTGCAGCCCCAACAATAATGTATGAATGTAACTTTTTTCTCCATATTCTCAACAACACTTATTATTATTTGTATTCTTGATAACTGTCATTCTGACTGGAATGAGATGGAATCTCAAGGTGATTTTGATTTGCATTTTGCTAATTCCTGGAGATGTAAACATATTTTCATGTATTTGTTGGCCATTTGTAGTTCTTCTTTGGATAAGTTTGTTTAGTTCTTTTGCCCACTTATTAACAATATAGAGATTCCTCCAAACAGAAGGAATGGAACCACCATATGACCCAGCTATCCCACTCCTCAGTATGTATCCAAAAGATCTAAGATAAGCCTACCATAGGTGTGCAGCCACATCAATGTTTAGAGCTCTATAATTCACAATAGCCAAGCTATGGAGCCAACAAAGGTGTCCTTCATCAGATAAGTACATAAAGTAAGTATGGCATATATACACAATGGAGTATCATTCAGCCATGAAGAAAAATGAGCATATGACAATTGCTGGTAAATGAATAAAACTGGAGACTACCACACTAAGTAAAATAATCCAGACACAGAAAGTCAAAGGTCCAATGTTTTCTTTGACAGTGGAAGGTAGTCAAGAGTAAAGAGAGAAAGAGAGTCTGACACGGTAGTGTACACCTGTAATCCCAGCATTTTAGGAAGCTGAGGTAGGAGGTTTAAAGTTCAAAGCCAGCCTCAGCAACTTAGTGAGGCCCTGTCTCAAATTAAAAAATCAAAAAGGCTCAGATGTGGCTCAGCGGTTAAGCAGGACTCTATCAAATACTAACAAATAAAATACTATCAAAATAAAAGAAAGATCAACAGAGTAGAGTAAGGGGATTGAGGGGGAGGGAGGAGAAAAGGAAAAGGGAAAAACTGTGGAATGAATCTGACCTAACTTTCCTATGTAAAATATATGAATATATTGCAGTGAATCTCACCATTATGTATAGGCACTAGGCAGTAATTAAAAAAAAAAACAGTAAGTAAATACCAAAAAGATCAGTAAAGAAAAGGAAAGGAACAAGGGGAGGAGGACGAGAGGGTAAGGAGAAGTACTTGGGACTGAATTAGAGAAAATTAAAATCCATTGTTTATAATGATATCAAACTGAATCCTAATGCTATGTATAACTAATATGAACCAATGTAAAAAATATGGGGTGGGGGAAGCATCAGAGGAGAAGAGGAGGTTTTTACTTGATTCTAAAGAAGAATATGACAATAAAATTCTTGTGGTTTATTCAAACCATCTATAAATGGCTGGATAAGTAGAACTAGGTCACATAACTAAAATTATACATATTAAGTGATAGTACCATGTAAAAGGTTAACTGTTAGGAAAAGAAAACATTAAAGTGAGTTATCAGAAAACTTTTGGAAATCACCTAGTACAAAGGCCCTTTTTAAAGAAAAGGAAATTAGATCAGAATATTTTTGAAGGTACATACTGCACTCATTTTTTTTTTAATCTCTACCTAAAAGCTGGTTTTTAAACTTTCATGTGCCTAAAAATTACTCAGAAATTAGCCACCTCCAGAGATTCCCATTTGCTAGTTCTGGGGTGGGATCCTACAGATTCTGATGCAATCAGTGCTTGCCCTCCCTCAGGTTTAAACTCTTATGCTGTAGTACTAAAATACCCTCTCACTCAAAGCCCAATGCCTTAGACATAAGAGTTACCTAGTAAATGTTTGTTAAATTGGAGAATTAGACAGAAGGGACTCATCCAAGTTCATCTGGATTAATGTAGCTGTTTATTAGAAAAATCAGAATGTAAATCCAGGGTTTTTTCTCCCCTGGGCCTACTGGTACCTCCGATGTCATTTATCTCCTTTTTCATGCAGTGGGCTGGCATGGAAAAGTTTTGCCAGCCTCCTGTGGACCCAATCCACCCCCCTCACTCTATGTTGTCTCTTTTCTAATTTTTCTCATCCTTTATAATCTGAGCTTCCTGCTGGGCATCTTTTTCTTGTATAAGCAGGTCCCACAGTGGCCCGTTCTGTTTTGGAGCTGAGGTTGATTTAACAGTCATTCCTCTCTGCCCTCTGAGATCACAGATGATTGAAGAGACACAAAGACAAAAGTGATCCCTTTCTTAGGTTGGTCTTAGAAGTCAGAAGTCCTGGCTTTGAAGGACGAGAGTTTTTTCTCTTGTCCACCTTCTTTTGAACTTTCCCAAACTTCCTATTGCTCCGTTTTCACTTGAATTAGAGTTTACCTCATACATGAAAAAGAACTTTATCGTATTTTAAAACATTAAGATACCCAAAAAGAAAACCTTTTATAAAGGATTTAATATATTGTAATAATGGAACTCAAAGACATGCATTTTATTCCCTGGAGATCTTCCATTGTGGGTATATTGTCAGCCCACTGGAAATCATAACTACCATTGATGAGGACTCTTTAACTTGGTAAAGCAAAAGAAAGCCTCTCTGACTATACACAGAAGGATAATAGCGTAATTATGTTTTTTTATAAGATGTACCATATTGTGAGGCATCATAGATGTAAGTCACTTTAACAGTCAAATGAGTCGAGCCAGGCAATGGCTCAGATTCTGCCTTTATCTCTGCAAAGCAGCTACTCTTGGATCATATATCCAAACCACTTTGTAAATATTACCTTAGGATCTTATAGAACATGCATCCTGCATATTAATTTATACATAAGTTTTAATGACACCTATTATTTCTGCATTCCTTTCACTTGCAGACATGAGTGGAAAAACAGACCCCATTTGCCATGTCAAGCACAGAGCAAGGGCAGGGGACGTGGCAATGTGTTGCTGATGTTGCCATGGTAGTGGTAGTTGTGAAGAGAAAACCCACTGGCATGAAATACCAAAATCATAGAAATACTCTGAAGAGCAAAAGCACTACCTTTAAGTAGATGTTTTGTTTTCAAGGGTGGTTTTTTTTTAATTAAATTTTAATTTAAACAAGAAATCAAAATTTGAGGAATGATTTTTTTCCTGGAGGTAGATTTTCTGAAAATATTTTTGAATTACTTTTCTAGATAGCTACTTTTTTTTACACATTCCAAAGATGCTAATATCAATGAATAAAATATGCTTTTAAGTGACTTTAAAATTTTCATCGGGATGTGTCATGTTTTGGCTATGAAGAGAAATCATTGCATTTCTTAGAGGAAGTGTTTTTGAAGCTTTTAAGGTTTTTATATTTTCTCACTGGGAAAATGCACATTTGAATTCAGCATTTTTATGCTTTATGTCTAATGATGCATAAACAAGATTCTGATATATAACATGACAGTAGTTTAATAATTCACTAACCAACTATAAGTAATCCAATACTATTTATTTCTTTTAAAATGTCAAATAGCATAAGAGGATTTATCAGAAAGACAAGACTACATTGAAACTTCCCTTAAAAAACAGAAATTAATGTTACAGGAAGTAACAAATTTAATATTTTTCTCCATCCCAACAGTTGTGTGACCTCTCACACTACTACTTACTTCTTTATTTAATTCT